AGAAGTCAACGCACAGGAATGACGGATGACAATTCTCCGGACTCTCTCCACGATCGATACTAACCAAAAAAAAAAACGCAGGATGGCAGGAGATTCAGCACAAAGGTAACACGATTGGAATTTATGATCGGGGACGCACGTCTGCTGGAATTCCCTTGATCACAGGAATCAAAAGAATGTACAAAAACAACGCGATCGTTAGCAGGCCGACAGTGCTGACACGCCCACCAGCAAGCTGTAACGGTAACAAGGAAAAAAAATCAAGGTCACGGAGAGCAAACAAATGACGGAGTACAAACCGTGCGAATGGTGCAGCCTCCGTCCAGACACGAGCGATTAACGAAGGGGTACGCAACCAGAGTGTGATACAGGCTCCTGGGACACAAAGCGAAGCTGGCGGGTAAGGTGATCGGAAGACATGGCATGTAAGTTTAGAGTGAGATGAGACGGCAGCTAGTTGACCGTGGCCCGGTAGCCATGCATTAATCACATGCCAGATGCTACTCCACACGAAACGGCGAAAGGCTTATATGACCAGACCACTAGAACTAGGGCTACAGCTAGAGCTACAACCGATTACATACGATAGTTTGTCCCCTTTGAATGTATCGGTATCGAATAATGTACACCTTCAGGCCACCAAAAAAACTGCAACGCTTAGCAGGCCAACTACCATCCCGATCGCCACGCTAGATATGTCTCGTGCAGCCGAGTTGGCCTTCACGCTAGGTGACTGACTTGGTGTCGCATTGCTACCTGATGTGCTCGCCGCCGCCTTCGGTGCGGCGCTCTGGGAAGGCGCAGTCGACGGAGATGAGCTCGCAGCTGCAGCTGGCGCGTGTGACGATGTTGAGCCGCCGCTCTGAGTGGCAGCAGCAACTACTCCAGGCGCAGAGCTGCTAGGTGCGTCAGAATGATACAGGGGTGTGCGAGACAATTGCCGCCTACCTTGACGAAATGGAGGAGCTAGCGTCGTAAGTGTTGGCGCAGCTAGAATTATGAAAGGTCCGTAACGTGGTACGCAGGCATATATGCTACCAACATACTTTGTGGTACTGCCCGCTCGGACGGTTGCGGGCGCAGAGAACGCTTGATTGCCACTACCATCCTTCAAGCCGGCAGTGCTTCGTCGCAGAAATGAGTGAACAACTGAGCAACCTTAGAGCATTAAGACTTACAAACTGGTATTAGGAGGGAGGTCGACCTTGTCCCACGTGTAACTATCCCCATCTTGAGGAGGGAACTGCTTGAGCTGCGGTAAAAGAGCGCATAAGTCACGAACGGGCGATCAAAAGCAGCGCAAAAGAAGTACTTACAGCATCTGCCCCAGGTTGGCCCGCTGAAATAGAGGTAAGTTGGTGGACGTTAGAAGATAGTCACCGAAAATATCGAACCAGGAAAAAGGGCAAGGAAGAATGGCGGCTTGCTATCCTCTGCGTTCCAGGTGAATTTCACAGGCTCTGGGCATGGAATCAACACGTGAAGAGAAGGTGGAGGTTAGAACAATTGCCCACCGCAGGTAACCACGGATGCTCTGAATGTAAGAAATTACAGATCAATATAACACGCAGTGACGAGATTCATAGTACTCACGGTGTATTGATAGTGAGTGCGGACGCCAAGGTAATAAACGCAGTGAGGAGGACAAAGGGGTTCATGGCGGGCTAAAAATGTCGCGGGAAAAGGTCGTTAAAGGAGTATACGCTAGGATATAAGAGTAGGTGTGGATGAAGAGGAAGAAGAAGCTGGTTGAAGGGGGATGGATGCCTTTCTTTCCAACTTAACCGCGGCTGGTGAAGCGGAGTTTGGTATGTTGGAATCCAAAAGTCCAAAGTCGCAGGGTCTAGCACAAAAGGCGAGTGAACAAAGAGGGATTCCAATGCAGAGGTATTCGGCTACAAGGTAATACAAAGTGAAATAAATAGAGTCCCCATGGATAAAGATCAGCACTCGTTCTATGACTTGATAAAAACGAGATCACGGACGACGAAGACACCATCCGTCTAGTCGAGTCCGAGCACCTCCACTGTGACATTGACCGTCATGATCACTGTATAGAAGCAAATGAGGAACACCCCCCATTTGCGCGGGAGGAAATAGTCGTTCATAGGAACGAATATCATGGTCGTGACGAGAAGTGCGAGAAGCCCCACAGAGCTTACGAATAGAGTATTGGAGAACTGGAGCCTGTAGGGTTCGCCGGTCTGGTGAATTATATACGAGCCAGAAATGCCAACACCGAACAATATGTTCAACATTGGCCCACCAAAGCAGGCCGAGAAACCCATAATGGGGGCAAACACCTAAAAGAACAGAACATGAAGTCGGGTATAACGTAATTGGAGTGAACACTTACAGCCACACTCATGTTGGCGACCAAATCAGCGAGGGAATTTCCAGCAGCAAATATTGTCAAACCAATAATTGCGTCCGACAATCCAAAGACAAAACCAAAGGTCTGCGAATGGCATCAGCTGAAATACTATCACGTGCTTAGTTCACTGACCTGGAGAACGTTAACAACCTCGTCTGCAATAGCCATAATCCAAACCACAGCAACAAGAAAGCCCATCGAGCAGCGAGTTAGTAGCCAAGCTTGGTTATCTCCCTTGTTCGCGAATAAGAAGACCGGTATCCCCGCAGAAAGGCCAGCTAACCCTGCCCCTAGGAGGGACCACTGTTCGTACCTGGTACCCTCTGTTCAGAGCGTCGTATAAGCTGTCAGACCTGCGCATCCAGTTGAGATCGGAACCGGATATACGTACTAAACAGTACAGCAGCGCAAAACAAAGGGCCCAAGATGCATTGAACTACCATCAGCCACTTATTGAAGTGCATCTCGTGCATCTCCTCTTGCACCACCTCCTCAGCGATAAGAGCGCGCTCGATTCCATCTTCTTCAAAGGGCACAAGAGTATTGTTTGCGTTCGTAGCTTTTTCGTGTCGGTAACGTGCACAAACGTATGGTCTCACTACAACCGGGAGAGTGATAGTCAATACAAATACCGCCGGGGCAGCAAGAGCAGCCGCAGCCTTTCCGAGTAAAGTCTTGGTGTGGAAGCCGTGCAACGTAGGGAAAAGGACGTGGAACGCGTGGGAAAGAGCAAGTGCCACGCCTTCACGGCGTGTTGGCACCAAAGCATGTGCAATATCACTGGCTGTGTCAGAATGTGGAGGTTCGGGAAGGTGGGAAATCTCGGGAACGAGTGGTTCGGCATCGTCAATGAGAATGAGGGGAGTTTCGGTGGGACGATGGTCTGAATCATCGAATGTGAGGGAAGGCACAGGGGCCAGTTGAGGACGGTCAATTAACGGAACGTCCGACGAAGGCTCCCATAAATTTGCACCCTCGATGTGAGCAGAAGCTCGGGACAGCGATCGCGGGCGTGCGTATCCGTGGTAGTGTCCACCGGGGTACGGCGTTAATGGGGGATCAAAAACGTTCAGAGAAGACCCAGCAGCATCTTGATGCAATGACGAAATTACGCTTCGAAATTCGATAGCTCCGACAAGAGAGAAGGATGGCATGGTGGATGGCTGTGGGGATGGTGACGGAGACCTCGAACTGGCTTGGGAGCTCAAGGATTGTCGATGCGAGGATTGCGACTCTAACTCAAGGTGCGATAACGGTGGTCGTCGATGACCAAGATCCGGAGGGACCAAGAATGGGACACTTGAGGGCGGGGCTTTTCACCACGTAAGCCTAAATCACGGAAACAGACTGACACTCACGCTCATCTTGATAGGGCTCATGGTCGCGATACGGCGGTACATCTTCATCGAATTCGCCACGTACTTGCGCTTGCAGCAAGCGTTGGGTCTCATCCTTGTGTTCCCACCAGCTACCTACGACCACGGTGAGGACGTACACAAAGTACAACAGGACAAGGATGGCCGCTTCCCACGCATATATCCACCCGTCGAGAAGAATGACCAGTAGAACGAAGACGGAAACAGTGAAGAAGGCGGAGTCACGCAAGAAAGGACCTCGATGGACTCGAAAAGGTTTGATGATACACATCGAACCCACGACGCAGGAAACGATGAAGGATGCCGCGCCAAGAAGCTCCCCTATAGCCAAGCTTCCCGAGTTGGTGCGCAGGGCAGAAAATGTCGCGAATACATCTGGGCTGCCATTTCCAAAGGCAAGAAAAGTGACGCCTGCGACATTCTCGTCTAGATTCAGCAGCTGCGCAATGGTCGCCAAATTTGGGCAGAAGAAATCTGAAGCGCTTATTCCGAGGGTAGAGAACAAGAAAATTAGCCAGAAGAGTAGGCCAATAAACACAAACGGCCGAGAGCTCGGACTGGCACAAAAATAGGTTTGCAGGTATGGGATGGACAGGAAGGTGTCAGATGTGGGACAAAAGTCATGCACGACTTTGCATTGGTCTTCGACAGGGATGACAATGGGCTGGCACTGAGACGAGGCATTGAGAAGTATAGCATTAGTGTATTGGGATCACAGACCTCGTTCTCGCTTTTGTCCTCGACAAGGCTACCGTATTGCTCGCTTGCTAGTAGCCCAAGGAGGCTCCGCTTGGAGGGATGGGAATCGGAGGATAAGAGCGCATGGCCACCAGATCTTTGGCTATACGAGCTCTGCGACCACAAGATAGCATTGAAGACGAGGAGCGCAACGAAGACGGCCTCGGTCGTGGGGTAAGACCTCATTGGAGCGGCTACTGTAAGTGAGGTTTGCAAGCGCTGAATATGTCACAACGGTGGCCAGGCCACGTTTATAGTAGCGTGGGAATATTATGTCATAGACAAGTGTTCTTGGGTCTGCTTTTGACAAAGGAATGCGACGATGGCAGGATAGAGGTGGAATAGAAAGGAGGGACGGAAGGAATGGGTCAGAGAACACCGCTATCACCCATGGATACGCGAAACCGTACAGCAGCTATTTTAAATCGTCCACCTCTACATGTGATGAATGATTATCACACGTTGACAACTGATTCAGGCATATGGTGGATCAAAAAACATGATTCTCCAAGCCTTCGATAGCTCAGTTGGAAGAGCGTGGGACTGTAACGGATGCATTCTATCCCGAGGTCGCTGGTTCGAACCCGGCTCGAAGGATGCTTTTTTTCGGTGCAACGGCCAGGCATAGTTAATTGATTGTGATTGACTGAGTAAGCATTACAATGAAGAAACTGTGGCAATACAATGAGTTGAGTGACATAACCTTGACATTCATTAATCCGTAAGAAAATCTAATACAGAGTTCTCAAAGTCCCATCCAGCTACTCCTGCCGCCAGGATTATGCAGCGACGTCTGCCCAATCTTGACGACGCCGGATTCTATTTTGGAGGCCTCCTCCTCTCGTTTCGGCGTATCCTTTAAAAATCGGTCGCCCAAAACAAGGAAAGGATTGTCGATCGCATCAACCAATGGACTTGGTGGTGCAAATGACGTCGATGTCGCAGTTACAAAGGAACCACGGCCATCAACCACGGGCATGGCCGCTTTCGGCGTTTCTGGAGCGGACGCAGGACTGGGAGAAAGGATTCGGCATACCATTCGTACCACACTTGGCGTTGGTTGGTCAGGCGCCACACGAAAACTTGAAGTTCGGAGTTGCCGGTAGGTACAAAGGTTCCTTAAAGAAGCGTCCAGGAAAAACCATGCAGCAATAATGCACATAAACTTACCCTGAGGGGGAAAAACACGGGAACCAGCTTAGCATATCCTTAGAAATTTGATCCTTCCGATGGGGGTGAATGCTGAGACCTATGTCTCCATACAATACAGCCTCAAAGTAACCAGCAAGCCCGTGTAACACGCCAGCGTGAGGGATATGAAAGGTTAACCTGGCTGAACGAACATTGTGGCTGTTGTCACTGGTAGCCCTGACAAGAAAAGACACGTAAAAACTGTCAGAACACAGGTCACCATCGACCAATGGCAAATCTAGAGACGTGCCTCGTTCGTCAAGCACCACGTCACGTCTCGGGTGTTCGAACTCCCAGCATTCCTGTATTTGTTGCCCGCAACGGCCGCCGTCGTCGTCCCCCTGACCGCTGAGAATATTCACTGCCTGGAACATCACAACATATGGCGTCTCTGGCGCCTTTTCATCTTTCCCCGCACGGACCTCATTATAAAGTTTGGAGGAGGACAGAGGAGCCAGATATGCAGAGTATGATGAGGGGATAGAGATACCATTTGCTAATAAGAAGGCCATGAAACTGGGCTATGGCAAGATGGAAAAACTCAGGGACGTACGTTTCAAGAAACGCATTGCGCCGTCCAAGCATTCCGGACTGAGCTCGTTGTCGCCAAAAGAGCCCAACAATTCGCTAACAATAATGTCCGCTGGTTCCGGAACTGATAGGGACCGCATGTCACCAAACAGCAGGTGGACCTTTTCTTTCCATTCAGAAGCTTTCCGTCGCTGCAGGCTGTGAGGTAAGGCAGTGTCACTAGTGCTCCTCATCTAGGCCCATTTGTTAACGGCTTGGCAAACTCACGTTATGTAGGCGCTAGGATTCTTCTCGATAGCGTAGATGAATGCGTTGCACTTGACACGCGCAATTGCGCTCAAACATCGAGCTACGAGAGGGCCTCGCCCAGCTCCAGCCACGCAGATAATTCTGAGGGACGTCAACGTTATCTTTACGTCAACAAAAAGGTGTTCTTACATCTTATCTGACTGGCGCCCTTCAGACAGTGCCGCATACATCGCCTTGAGCAGATTTGGGCAATCGTTCTAGTTGCGGTATCAAATCGTTGCGTACCTCTTCATACTTTTGGTACTTCACAGGATCTTGTTCGAACGTCTGATAAGTAATGCCTTGCAAGTTATCCATAAGGGGCTATAGTTGAGTCAGTGCATCGCTCATGTGACAGCGCCGGCGTGGTGCGTCCGACCTGCAGAGGCGCTTGCAGATAGTCCTGATAACCCCGCGCGAAATTCTCCACTGTTCCTGCTGTCTTGGCCTGGATCACTGCGGGGCTAGTTCTATCCAAGTGGCGCACGTATTGTAGATAGGCGGCCTCGCCCCCCTTCACGTGCAGTCCATTAGTGGTACCTGACAGAATAACTACAGGCCGATGCTAGTCGCGGGAGGAGTAAGTGCTAAGAGACACCAAGAGTGCTCGGTACGGTCTAACCTTCATCACATCACGAATAAAAGACTGCGACCCCTTCGGGAGTACGGGATATCCCTTCGCATTAGCAATGAACGAGGACGCTGGTATGAACAGGTGTCTGATGGGTTCTGCTGCCCACCGGTTCAGCACCCCCGAGACAGAAGGAAGGGGTGGCATGAGATCCAGCGCTATACGGAAAAACCAATCAGCCTGAGTGATGGACGCCACTACGCCGAAGCCAGCACTTAAGGTTAGTCGTGGGTTGTAAGCACAGATGGACCGTATGACATCCCACATTTCCCATGTAGCATTCAGTTCGGCTCTGATGCCCTCGTCGATGGCACTGCCCTGGTATCAGGTGAGCGAATAGGAGTTGATGGCGTGGACGGAACGGGTGGGTGGAGGGATGGATTCTCATGCTGAGTGGAGCTTTGACCAGAATTAGATTGGAAGATGGATGGGTTGTATATCGGAAGTCTGATAGAAAATTGCATGTATGGCGTGCGTGCGAGACATGCGTTGACAACACGCCCATAGGCCGCGATCTGACTGCGATTGCTAGGAGGTGGAAGGATTACTGTCTGTATGTCTAGGTATGATGCGTAAGATAGCTCCTGCTGCAAAGCCTAGAAGGTTGTGGTGAGCCTTGGATTTCGTAGATGATCCGATGTTGGAACATAGAAAACGGGACGCCCACAATATCGGAGTCGTGTCTGACCCAGTTGTCCATCGCATCCAACTCTAACCAGTCGGATATCATAACAATGACGCCCTCAGCCTCTTCTGTCCAACAGCTAAATTAGCACATGGGTTGTCGTTCGTCAAAGGACATACCGAGGCCTGTGATAGTGACTTCGCCCACCTCGAATACTGGATTCGCCCTCCAAGCCTCTGCACGTTGTTCGACTCTGTCGTTCCTCTCGCCCCTCTCGCCGTCCGGTTCTGAGGATGTAGTGCACATCTCTCTCCATCGATCTCGCCATCTTGAGGTGGTCAGAGGAATGCAGACTGCGTCGTATGTCTTAGATCGTGCGTCATCAATGAGTGACGTATGTTGGGGGTCCGCTTTTGAGCGCTCTTCAAGATTGTCTGACGATAAGAATGTTGCAACGGGCACCGGATTGTCCCAGGATGCCATGTCTCGATTGTCTCGACGTCCTCAGTTCCCGGTTGTGGCGCGCTGATAAATCAGCACAAAGGTCAGGAAAAAGGGACGAATTGCCACGATCACCTAGAATCGAGACCAAAGAAGCTCCGCGGTCTGTGTCTGATTAAATTTTACCTTAGTTGTCGACTCCCGATGGTCAGATGAGGCCCTCTTTTCAGATGTGATTTATGATAGACTGGAACTTGGCACGCCGACAGGTTTCAGGAAGTCGGCAAGTTGGTGAACACCGCAAATTGCTACTTGACAGACCCTTTGCTCGATTTGGGATTGGTCCGCTTGGTTTGTACCCCACTTGTTTTGATATCGGGAACAATTTTGCCTGGAGTCTGTGTTAGAGACTAAAAGCTCGGTCTGGTCAACTCCGGGCCGAGCACTCCTCTAGTTTTGGCAAGTCAAATTTCACCAAAAGCTCTAACTCAAGGTTCTTCTCATCATTCGCCTCGTAACTCCATGACAGACGCGACATCCCCGCAGGATGTTACGTACCCGAGAAAGGTCCTTGCTCTCGTTCATTCATCTTCATCTGTAGGGAGATCCGGACGCCATTACTGAGTTCGCTGTCCGAACCGAAGTTTCCGCGGATAGCACTACGGTAATCAAACAAACATCTTCCGTGCCTTAATGGTTCGCGCTGGTTGGAAGGTGCCACTCTTACCCCGCAATTTGTAAGCCCTTCCTGTTTCCATTTAGTGGCATTTACGCGCCCATTTGTATCTTTCTTTCTTCATTTCAATCCGAGTCTTCGACGATCTACAGCACGATCAGGTTGCGTCGGGCCCGTCTAAACGCCTGCGTTTCGCAGAATCTGCATCTCCGTTCCTCCCACCTCTTACAACGTCATCATCTCCATTGGCCATGGAGTACCCGGTGACCATGCCTTCCAATACTGCTCACGGACGACTCGCCTAAGCTCCTCCTCTCCATGACTACCGTCCCTACTTCTCCATTTTGTGCGATGTCCCTCAATTGATTCATGAGCGATGACGTGAGGCGTTCTGATGCCGCTTCCTGCGAGTGCTGCGATGGTTGCACCATCGGATCGGATATTTCATGTCCACATTCCTCGCTCGGAGCATCCGTGTCAAGAGAAGCAGTGAGCGAATCTAGATGGATTGCAACACGTGGAAAGTCTTCTCTGAGAGAATCTGCTGGCTGAGGGACAGGCTCAGAAGTGAATTGCGAATTGCTAAGGACTTGACATACCGTCAAACCCTCGTGATTTCGCCAAGCAGGGTCTGCCCCATGGTTTATAAGAAATTGTGCTGATTCAATGTTCTCCACCGTGTAGAGAGGGGTCTCGCCGTCCTCATCTGTTACATTTACGTCTCCACCTGTATCCCAACGATCAGCTAAACGATGCATTGGTCACCACTAACTTACCCCTAGAGACGAGATACGCCAAAATATCCAGGTGGCCGTAAGATGCGGCAGCATGCCTTTGGAACGGCATGAGTATGAGGAATATTGCTGGATAGCAGCGTACATGGGAGTGTATGTGAACGAGTCTGGTACATTAGGAGACAATGCTATGTGGTGCGAGGAATATCAGCGGAGTGAGAGCTTCGATATCAGAAACACTTGCATTGGTGCTCAACCAGCTCCTGAGATAGCCCCTCGGGATGATCGGAAATAGAAATGATAGATAGGCATACGACTGACCCTCACTCGACTAAGGTCTCCGTCGCCGGCGGCAACCCATATATTTTTGTCAACAATCGTCGATGCAGGCATTCGGTTCGACAGAGAAGCGGTTTTCAAACGTCACGCAGTCACGTTGTCACAGGAGCAAAGTGTATTTGACGTTGTTTGTGGAATTTG